TTGTCTGCTTCTCTCCAAAATTTCAAGCAGTTTAGACTTTGCAGTTTTTACGAGTCCTCCATTTGGTGTTGCAAGTGAAAGAGGAAACGATCCGAGACTGTATGATAATACCTCCTTCAAATTGACCTCACGATTTTTTGCTATGACTAAAAGCTTGGCAAAAAAATTCCGGTTCATTTTGATGCTTTTTTCCTTCCCTTTTTGGCCACTCTGTACTTGTTTCCTCCTTCCAGAGAACGTTTCAATGCTGTTGCGCCCAATTTTGTGAAAATATCCGGATTGTCGGAAAACAAGTTGTTTTAGAAAATTCTGAGAACTGCCGCTCACCCAGTTGCTCTGCAGATAGAAGTCGATCTGCCACAGTGGTTTCTAACTCTACCCACTTGCCAAATTTATCAAATGTTCTTGATCAACATCAAAAGGATGTGCCATTTGGGATATAAAAGTTAGTACGTCTTGAACACATTGCTCATAGCGTTTGCACTTGGAGTAATCAAGGTCTTTACGCTTTCTGAAATGCATGAAAAGAGGATGTCTCCAACATTTGAAGGGAATTATAAATTTATTTACACGAAACAACCCGTCCTAACCCTAAGCTTCATAGCAGAATATGCGAATCAAATTCACCTTGGCTTATATTCCAACCCCGCCATGTAATTACACTTTCTTGTTATTGCTGCTCTCTTGTGATAGCATCCATCTTTGCACCGCTCCAGGATTCATAGAAATTCCAGTCAAACCACCCTTCGTCTTCGAATCGCGGTTTACAGTTTGCTCAATTGTTTGATCACACGCCACAGCAGAAAAACCATAGTTGTTTTGACGTTGTACAGCAAAGTTACACGATATTTCAGACAAGATTCCTATATAATAAATTCACAATTGTTTGTCGTAATAAGCAAGACTTTAATTAAATGACACAATGACCAAATCAAACCTGGATGTGTCTGATCCAAAGCAACAATCTCAAGCCAATATGCAGACCCATATCTTGCATAGTTTATCCGATCACAGGCAAAAAACCATGGCAACATTGCTCTAAAGATTGTCAAATGTAGTTTCCAGTTTATCTCCCTTGTAGCTCTGATAAACATCAACAAAATATCTAAAAAGTAGGAAGTATATCTAAAATTGATAAATTCAAAGTGTATGTCCTGTAGATTTGACCTTGTTACAACCTAGAAAATAAATGAGAGGGTTTATTGTTATTTACCTATCATTTTGATGTACATACTCCAGAAAGCAAACGTTCTTGATTTTGAGGATGCATTTTGTATGAAGTTTTCGTACTCTTCGCATATTTCCTCAAACAGTTCACTTTCAATACAATCGCGGAAACCTTTATCTGGAAACGAATTTGACATTTCACATAGGAATGCCATTATTCTTCCATCTTTTTCTTCTTCTAAATCATCCAGGTATGCTTCAAACCTTAAACGTTGCAGTGCTTCGTACAAAATTTATGGCATGACATCGATCTATTGTAATTCTTTCCAGAAAGGACACTCTTTACGGATCCTTCGCTCACAACACCCGACTCAATTAACAAATCCTAAAGAACGTTTTGCGGAAGCATTACTTTTAGAAACGTATTTATCTAATTGCCACTTATTTCTTGTACAAGTTTTATATGTGAAAATTAAAATATGAATTCGCACTTAAAGTCCTCCATCTTCAAAGAGCTTTGACACTGCAGATAGAAAAGACATGACAGTATGAAATTCTCCAAGACGTACGACCAGTTTATCATAGTAAACGGGTTCTTTCCATCGTATGTGCTGGACTTTAGAGTAAACTGCTTCATCAAAGACTAAGACAGCATATTGTAAGTCAAGCTTCTCTGCGATATTCTTGCTTCTTTTAAGAATTTCATTAATTGTAGAATATTCAGTTGGTGACGCGTTTATAACTGGCAGGTAACCCACTCTCGATACCTCAGGTATTTCTTCAATAAGCATGGTGTTAAAGCCAGTCCATCCAGGCAGTGCTGTTTCATCAGTGACATGAACCATTTTCGTTAAAACATATGCTAAATCAAGCTTGTGAGCTGCTTCATTTAACTCATGGTTCCTATCAATGAGCATTGAACGGGCGACTTCATTGATATCAAAAAATATTGGAGTCTTTTTTGCCCCAATACTATATTCTGCTAGGTTGGTATTCGGCATCTTAACAGTTCGCTGTGACTTTTTGACGATGCTGGAATTTTGCATTGTTATGTGTTGCTGGCCTGACAATTTCTGCGTTATAATTCCGTTTGTGACATGGGTTTGTTTTTTTATGTCCTCGCCAAAATCAATGTTGTCGTAAATCAGGTTAACATACTCTTTCTCTACAAACTCTTTGGGAACAATATTAGATGTATCAATAGTTGTTTGGGCAAGGGCAGAATCATACGCCATGCATTGCGGATGACAAGGAGACACAGTGTCCAAGACCGTTCAAAAGGCTGATCAGGCTTGAACAGCCAGAAATTTGTCTAACAGCTGTTGCCAAGGCTAAGGATTTAGGCGTTTGCATTTTTCCTTTACTGCTAACGTTGATCAGATCTTGACATAATGAATAAAGTTTAATAGCGTTCTTCTCCCCTACTTCAACATATTCCGACAAGTCCGGGTCGTCTGAAAAACCAAGCATCCATGCGAGGAAATTAAACAGAGTTGGCGAAACAATTTTCCTAACACTCTCATTATTTATGTCAGAAGCAAGGGGCGGCCAGTTTTCGTACCATATTGATTTTGTACTAGCACGTAGATTGCCCCGTAATGTTAGCGCTACGTTAAATACTTCATTAAGGGTCGTCGTTTTATTGCAGCTGCCTTTTGGAACGTCATTGTTGAAAAATTCATCTTCTGTGTCCATCTCACTTTGCGAAGTTTCTGTGTCTTCATTTAAATAATTTTCTGCCACAGTTCCTTGACAAAGACCTTCAACGTATGCAATTTCACTTTTGTTCCGTTCTTTTGGTGAAAAGAAAACAATTTGAGGGAATCTCTCTCGCAATCTCTCTTTTAATCGAAAATTTCTATAATTTGACGCATCTGTGCCTTCAATTTCTTAAACTGTCTTAACAAACTCAGCTTTCATTCTCTTCATAAGAAAAATTTCTTCGCTCATCAGCAGTCTTTTCTTTACAAATCTTTCACAAAAAACATCAAAGGACTTTTCGTATTTGCATGCGTATCTGTCATAGTTTTCAGAATCATAAACTTCATCTATTACATTGCTGCGTCTTAAAAAGCTAGTGTATCGTTCGTAACACCGTCTATGATACCTAACCTCTAAAGCTACACAATCTTTATCAGCAATATTTACAACTATACTTTCATCTGAATTTCTCCTAGCTGCTTCTTTTAATTTACCCCCATCTTTTGTCTCTGCCATAACCAGTCGATCTAGCTTTCGCTTTCGAGTGCCCTATTAGTCATAAGTGAACATTTTTTGGTGAAATTATTAATTATCAAGAAGACAAAGATTGTTTCTCACGTAAAAAATTTCTTTCAATGCGGAAAATATATAAGCGAGCTTTCAATGTAGGATGTAAAGCTTTCGATAAAAAGAAAATACAATAAAATGTGTCACTTACCACTTCAGTCACAAAGACTTTTCTTTTTAAAATGATACATGTAAGTACATGTTTTGATTTTGGTGCAATGGCTTGTTTCTTCAGTGTAGATCTAAGTAGTTTTTGCCGATGTGCCTGTTATACTTTCGCCACCAGCAGGTAATAAATTGTCTGCAGTCGCATTTAGTGTCCTGTCTTTCCTTCTCTCACAACGAGTCTGCGCTCGATTTATAAACGTTTTATTGGTAAACTTAGAATAGCATCCTCTGTGATAAGCTAGGCTTGGTTCATTTTCTTCAATAAACGCCGTTCTCTCTGCAATTTCCCTCTGATCACCATCAAGAGTCACCCAAATTTCTCTGCATTCCATAAACTTTTTAAAAGAAACTTCGGTAAAATTTGTAAGTTGCCCACTCTCTCCTTTAAAGTGAATTAAACATTTCAAGAGCAAAGATGCCATCCTTTCGTTTTTTTCCGTTTTATCGCTTCGAACAAACACAGATACACATTTAATTGCCTATTTTAGTTTAAAGCAAATCAGAAGCAGTGCCAATATGAGCCATTTAAGAGACTAGAACTAGTACAATAGCTATTTATTACATGAAGTACACAGGGAAACAATGGCGGCGATCAAGTTTCAAAGCAACAAAAATTATTGATGTTTGATGGCAAAATGCTCACAAACTGCATGTTTATACGCGTGACAACAAGTAAATTCTTATTCAGCATATGAAAATGTATAGATTTATTTAAATTAAACTTAGTGCCCGACCGATGGCAACGGAACTGCACGATAATTCGACACAGAATACGGCCTATTTGTACATATAAATAATTAGTATTGGTAGCATTGAGCTCTATAAGACCTGGAGGGGCAAAGGGGCCTGGGCCTCGTGGTCAAAAACATGGCGGATTTTGGTGGTCAAAGTCAGCGGAGAGACGCGGGCTCATGAAATGAAAACTTTTTCGCCCCTCCGGATTTGACCACCACAATTGCGTGTTTATAGACATTACAATAAATATCAAAACATTTGTTGCGAAGTCTTATTTGAATACTTGTATTGCAAAAAATGCCGCAATCTTGTGTTGTACATGGATGCAAAAATAGTGCAAGAAAAACAAACATTTCATGGCACCGGTATGCAATAAAATATTGTTCATTATTTCTCAAAACAAAGCACTTCGTTTTGTAATTTTGTCGTTTGATGGCGTGATACCATTTCGTTTGTAGTTTTTTTAATTTTTAAAGCATAATCTTTAATTTAAATTGCATTTATCTCAAACTTTCTGCTCATTATAGCTTTCCAGATGCAGAAAACACCCACATCTTTCGGAGATGTGGGTGTTTAGCATAACAAAAACTCGAACTATGAATGAGTTTGCCCCAAAGAAATGGAGTCATTTGTTCAGAACATTTTCTGACCATATAAGGAAACAGTCGGGAATAGAGTTGTGTTAAAACTGAATGCGGTGCCAACTATATTCAAAAATGCTGTGGTATGTATCATACAATAGAAGTATCTAAATTTAAAATGTGTCCTTAAAGCTTCTTGTTTTTGCACAATTTGACAGAATATAGACTACAGTGATGAAGGGGCTAAAGGTTTACTAGATGCTGCTAGTTATATAGAAACACAACTCAATATTCCTGTGAATGAAGTATGTATTGGAAAATCTATTGTAAGTGAGGAGGTTGAATTTGAAAAAAGCCTTGTGCCCATGCCAGATTTAGTCATGGATGATAATCAATTGAAAAACAACGTTAAATGTGTTAATTGTGTTATTACTATATTTGCTTATAATATTTTATTGGATATTACAATTTATTTTATTTATATTTTTACATATTTCTTTTAATATATATTGGATTCATTTCTACCTTGGCAAGTTCATTTTTTTTCAATTTCCTTTGATTGTACTTGGTACAACTGCTGTAACAGCACCCTGTTATAATAAGATACAGACCAACATTGACACAACATTTAATACATACATATTATTATATGGATTGCTTTTACCTTTTTGCAGAAATTCACAAATTTCACTAAATAGTTGTATACAGACAAGCCGTATATCGCATGTAAATCTTATTCACTTAATAAATCTAAAATTTAAGTTTAGAGTAAGTTTATTGGTTCACTTGAGGCTAATATCCGTTAAAGGCACCTATTTTTTGTTTGCATTATACTTCACTACAGTGTTCGCACTCAAAGTAAGTTATATCGTGAGAACAATGGTTTTATTTACGAGTAGTCTGCCAAAATGCATAGTGCCTCTTTCTAGCTGTAAATAACGATTCCTTTGAATTATTGGATTAGTGTTCTGGTTAAAACAGTTCTTTTAAGAACTATTACATTGTTATTATCACCATTCACCATGGTATTCGCCATTTTGAAATCCATCTTTAAATGGTTTTATTTTATAAAAACATGTCATGAGCCGTTTGATAATAGGTAATTGCCCAAATTTTAAATTATGACCAATCAATTTAATCATGAAAGGCAGTTAAAAGAAAATATTTACCAACATTTGTAGTTAAGGTGAGTATTGGTGTTTTTAAAAATCGTTAAATATTGACATCTTAGATTTTCGCAATCACCAGCTATATAACCGACACGATTACATCTCAAAATTTAAAACAACTTTACTGATTTCTATCAAAATATTCAAAGTTTCTACCTTGAATTTTATTCGTAATATCAATCTACATGTGCCGTGATACTTCAACGCCATGTTTTCGTAAAACATATAAATCAGGAGGGAGAATATTAAAAACATTTCAAAGTGGAAGTTTTGACCACCAAAATCCGCCATTACCGCCATGTTTTTGACCACGCGGCCGCGCGCTGATAATTTATAGTAATTTTGTTGACGTTTCCCCTCCAGGTCTTATAGAACTCAATGATTGGTAGCTGTAAGCTGTTCAAGCAAAACAGAAGAGTAGTAGTGCTCGAAGGGGTTAGCATTTTTAAAATTTATATCTTGTTCTTGACATACATTACACAATTCCAAAAGACTGTAAGTAGTACACAATAATATCTATAGAAATTGATAAATTTCTTTGCCTACACTGTCAATTAACTATTTTGCCTTCATGCAGCAATAGACAGAGTGTTTTTGTCAGAGAAACCAATGCACTTTAGTTTTCAAGTTTGTAATTTCAATGGAAAAATAATGTAGTGTTGTTCAGTAATAGACCCAAGGTTCTGCCAAGCAGTTTACATAATACAAATTTCCGACCAACATATGGTGTTTTTAATTTTTTTCTTTTTTGTAGCTCTTCTAGTTCAACATACTTTCTTTATGAGTTTTCAGTAGATTTATCAGGTAATGACAATACACTTATGATACTTATCCATGGTAAATTTTCATTTGACTTATGTCGTAGGACTGAAGCAAACATTTTCTCGCTTCCTTAGGAACATTTTTACACAGATTTATCCAATTTGAGCAAGAAAAATAGTTGCACCAAACTGCTTACAAACATTCAAACACACAGAAGCATGAAATAATGTATAAGTTTGACGAGATTGACAGGTCTACTAAAGAATGCCGTTTGATTTTCACTTTTAAAAGGTTAAAATGTCATAAAATAACTTAAATGTTACAGCCAAAATATGCGTTTTTCTACCGTCGATTTTCTTTATTTTGATATGTGTGTGTGTACTGTGTTTTTCACGCAATGCTGAAGCATTATTTTCACATGATATGCTGTCGGTATCGTAATTGGGTTTTTTTCTCACTTGTTTTCGTTCATATAAACAGTATTAGAAATCAGGAGGGAGTGAATATTGAAAAAAAAATTTAAAGTGGAAGTTTTGACCACCAAAATCCGCCATTACCGCCATGTTTTTGACCACGGGGTACCAGTGAATTCCATATAGATATATATCTGGAATGATAACGACAATACATTTTATAGATATAAAATTGAAGCCAAAGTCCTAGTCTCTCGCGCGGTTTGTACGTCAGTTCCAGTCCTTCAAAGTCGAATATTCACGCGGTTAGTACGTCAGTTTCATTCCCCTGAGTGCCAAACATACACGGCCAATATAAATTTGAATACAAATGGCAAAAGCATAAACATATAAACAACATCACGACAAACAACACACGAGGCCAACTCTTCGCAAAAGGTTATTTTTTACAGCTGAAACTTTACTACAGTGACTTCATTGTAACTTACAACTTGTAACTGAAAATTACACTGTATACAAAAAAGACAATATAATAAGAAAATATGACGAGAAAATATTCAAGCAAAAAATTTTCTTACATCGGTAACTTTTCAAACGCTGTCAAACAGTGTTTGTCTTTTTTGTCATTTCAGTGGATTTAAAGATCTGTTTTTCCGAAGAAAAAAGAAACTTGAATATCCAGTTTCATAAAAAATATTGAGTCTATAACTTTTCCCCTTTTCCCCTCCAGGTCTTATAGAACTCAATGGACCTGACGTCAAAAAAATGGCGGCCAACGGACGTATTTCGCTGAAATGATCGCTTTGCAGAAAAATAATATTCTCGACCTCCCAATGGTGTCTATAGTAAATTATAAAGAATTTTTCAAAAACAAACACGATATCACAGAATATGGATATCGTTAGTTCCATATTCTGTGACGATATCTTTTTTGGCATTTCTTTTATAATGCCAACACTTCAATCGTTCAATTGTTGGATGTCGTAGTTTCCACAAAAAGGAACATATCGCTTCTCACAGGTGAGATAGTTGCTTGTTTTGTTAGTCCGTCAACGATTGAAAAGCAATTATATATACACTTGAAAAGCCATAATATACATATTAAAGATCGTATTTTTTAAGACTGACTTGAACGCCAAATATACTGATGTTTCCTGTTTTTGTTTATAAAATTCTGCATACTTTTCTGTCATTTGTTAATGCATGAAATCGTAAATTTACCCATCTATTTGCAAAATAGTTTCCCTAAAGCAAAAAAGACCCTGCACACATTTTGCTCTGTGAGTAAGTATCAAAAAGAAATGATCAGCCCCAACGGTACCCATGATTTGAAGCAGAGCTTGTTATGTTCTATTTGCTGACAAAATGCAGGAAGATCAAGGAGTAAAGATGACTGGACATCTGCATTCATACATGTGTAGCCGACATATAGCTCTTTCGTCGATAGTTATAAATGCATCCTCGTAGGAGCAGATAACTGACAACCACAGTTGACTCGCTGTTATGAATTTAAGGTTTTTACCTTGAATTGCATCAAAAAATTGCTTGCCGAATCCCAAATACAAACATACATTTTCCTCACTCTTTCTTCAGGAGGGAGTGGGAAATTGTGAAATTTTGGGAAAAGCGGTCAATTTCGGTAAATCTCAGCGGCAACGGACGAAATCCGCCATTTTTTGGCGTCATCAACTATCTAAGGCCGCGCTTGAGATAACTGCTCCAGTTATTATAGAACTCAATGAGGCTAACTCAATATAACCATGCCTATATACTTGTGTGAAGCCACTTTGCAGTTTCGCGTGTATCTCGCGTGGACTGTTTTATTGGCGTGACGGATTATTTTGCAAAAACTGCTAACTTGGAAATAGAATGCTAGCCTAAATTTTTTATTTTTTTAAAACCGTTAGCAAAATTGGTTATTAATGTGTTAAGATGCATTGTGGACGTTCCAAGGAATGTTTTGTATACGTAACGCTGTATTATATAAAACATAAAAGTGAGAATTTGCTTCGAAATACGAATTTCTCATTTGTCGTCGAAAGACCAAAAATTTAAGATAAAACAGATAACAGGTAGTCTGTGTCTTTGAGTGCTGTGCAAAATACACGCAATCCAGTCAATATAACATGTTTCATAACAATTTTATTGCTTTTAAAGTCAGACTTGCTTTGTAAGAATTTCACATGCTCTTTTGTAATGTGTGAAAGTGATGATTTGAAATTTTGAAGTTGGGTGATTGTTGGTTCTTGTCATTTACTTCTCCCACTTCTTAAGAACTGGTGGAAGATTTGAAATGCATCCATATTTTTGTATTGAGAATTTTATCAGCAAGTTCATGCTTATAAATAAATAGCCAAGTCTACAACATGACAAGTATTGCTAATATAACTTGCTTACATTAATGCCAAAAAGCAACCTTCATCCTCAGTGGTTTGAACCAGCGTTTTAAAATGATTATAAAGCAAGCAAAGCTATATCATGTATCAAAATTTTATAGTATATCATATTGGTATTGTCGTATTGACCCTTTTGACTCTTTAATGGTTCAATTAATAATAACAAATAATATGGCATAACAGTTTTTTTAAACGAACTCAAATTATTTTTTTGCTAACTTTTTGAAATATTTTGCAGAGTGATTTTCTTTTTGTTTACGCTCTGAACTTTCAAAAATGACTGGGGCGAGCTAATGTTGCTCGGAAATACAAAAATTACCGAAAAACAGCGTTTTTTGCCCTGACAGCCTCATTTTCAAAGATTCAAACAATATTATAAGGATAGATAAGTGTGTTTTACATCCTTTTAATGAAAAAAAAACGAGGGGTGTCAGTTTAGTATTCAAGTTATAAGGCATGTTTTCATGTGCCAAAACAAAGTTCGCTTTTCATCCTTTTAAAAAGAAGCTTAAACATGTACAAATGTCGTTCAAACTTGTTTTATATTGAAGTCCAAACATTGTTTAAGGCTCGAAGACCACTGTTTTTTGCAAAAAATCCGGCAATTTTGAAGTATTTCGCCTCCGTACCCTCAATAGCGGCGATCATGCAGGCTTCAAAGATGGCGGCCAAGTTAGCCTTCCAGTTGTTATGGAGTTCATTGGTTTGACCCATAGATATAGTAGTTCTAGATCGCTGACGAGTGTGACGTAATATAAGACTTATTAAGACGGCAGCGTGACATTCATGATAAATCCAAGATGGCGCGGGAACCGGGCAAAAAACTTGGGGCTAGTATTAGGCAATTGTTGTTTTTTGCAGTTTACTTCGTTTCAGTGTTTTCAAACTCCTCCAATCAAGTTTTATTGGAAACAAAGCGTTATTAATAATGTTTTGAAGCCATATTGGACAATTATTATTGGAATACGTCCGAAAATATCGCTAGCGAAGTGTTGTGTAAATTGGTTGTTTGGTTGTCTCGAGGCGTTTGTCTACCAAAATAAACGGATTTCGTCTGCTTTAGCTCCCGTACTGGTTCGTCCACGTTGAAATACATCATATTGAATACAAACAAAAAGATGGGAAAATTAATCTTCATATTTTTTACATAAATTTCACTTCAAGATGCTATTCGTTCTTTCATTCTTCAAATATGTGTTGGCACTTAACAGACACAGTCTTAATCGTTTCCAAAAAGGATGAGTTTTGTCAGCTTTTGTCGCTTAGATGGCGCTCCTTTACAAACTTTTCTCTCGGAGTAGAGTTTGGAGAACTGGTGTACAAATATTTTACTGTACACATATGTAACTGAAAACTGTAACTGCATGGCAATTTTCTTTACACGTAAAATTTCATGTATTGAATGGTAAAATATCCGTAATATCCGATATTTTCTATACGGATATATTATCTGGGACATAGCCAGAATTTTTATTTGGTCATGCTATCCTAATGTTGCTGTGTTCACTGACTGTAAAAACAAGAGATTTTTAATGAAATGAACAATGACGCAGTGAAATGTACATAGCAACATCGTCTGGCTATGCCACCGATGATATCTATATCAAATATTTCATAAGATAATATATAAATTCAATAAACACCTTAGCTCTGGTAAAAAAAAATAAGTACTTTATACAGAGCTTTATAACTCTCTCCAAAAATTGTATTGTAACAGTATCTTGAGTTATGCATTTGAATGTTACTATGTCAGATTTTGAAATAACCAGTAATATAACAAGCTACTGAACATACATATGTTTTCTTCTCTTTCGTATAACAACTTAGCTGTAAGATCTCATCAGTATAGCCAATGAGATGAGGCAAGTTTCCTTCAGTTACGTTTCCCAACATTAACAGCTTTTCTAAGATCTAGTCAGTAAACAATAGTGCTGCAGTGTTATGTATCTCCTTGCTCCTCTCTCCATTCAACGTCGAATGGCCTTGCTAAACTGTAGATGAATCTCACATATCAGTACGAGTACAGTGGGAGTACCTTCGTAAATAAATTGCTTTTTTGTCATAAATGTTCAGATTTATTTTCCCATCTTTCTATAAATTGTCAATATGATATATTTCAATGCGCAACAAACCAGTATGGGAGCTAAAGCTGACAAAATCTGTTTATTTTAGTGGACGAACGACTCGAGAGAGCCAAACGACCAATATACACAATATTTCGAAAGTGATATTTTCGCCCGTATTTTAATAATAACTGTCCAATATGGCTTCAAAACACTTGCAATAACGATTTGTTTCCAATAAAACTTGATCGGAAGAGTTTGAAAACAATGAGAAGAAGTAAATTGCGAAAAACATCAATTGCCCTATAGTGACTCTATGTTTTTTGCCCGGTTCCCACGCCATCTTGGATTTATCATGAATGTCACGCAATATGGCGGCTCGTCAGTAATCTAGACCTACTATATCTATGGTTTGACCGTTGAGTTCTATAAGACCTGGAGAGTAAAAGGGGCCTGGACCCCGTGGTCAAAAACATAGCGGTAATGGCGGATTTTGGTGGTTAAAACTTCCACTTTAAAATTTTTTTTCAATATTCACTCCCTCCTGATTTCCAATACTGTTTATATGAACGATAACAAGTGAAAAAAAAAACAATTACGATACCGACAGCATCATGTGAAAATAATGCTTCAGCATTGCGTGAAAACACAGTACACACACATCAAAATAAAGAAAATCGACGGTAGAGAAACGCATATTTTGGCTGTAACATTTAAGTTATTTTATGACATTTAACCTTTTAAAAGTGAAAATCAAACGGCATTCTTGAGTAGACCTGTCAATCTCGTCAAACATATACATTATTTCATGCTTCTGTTTTTTTGACTGTTTGTAAACAGTTTGGTGCGACTATTTTTCTTGCTCAAATGGATAAATCTGTGTAAAAATGCTCCTAAGGAAGCGATAAAATGTTTGCTTCAGTCCTACGACATAAGTCAACTGAAAATTTACCATGGATGGTATCATAATTGTATTGTCACTGATGATAAATCTACTGAAAACTCATAAAGTAAGTATGTTAAACTAGAAGAGCTAAAAAGAAAAAATTCAAAACGCCATGATACTGTTGCTTGGTAATTTGTATTTTTTTTAAACAGCTTGGCAGAATTTTGGATCTATTACTGAACAGAACTACATTAATTTTCCATTGAAATTACAAACTTGGAAACTAAAGTGCATTGGTTTCTCTGACAAAAACACTATCTATTGCTGCATGAAGGCAAAATAGTTATTTGACTGTGTAGGTGAAGAAATTTATCAAGTTCTATAGATATTATTGTGCATTACTTACAGTTTTTTGGAATTGTGTAATATATGTCAAGAACAAGATATAATTTTTCAAAAATGCTAACCCCTTCGAGCACTACTACTCTTCTGTTTTTGTTAAACAACTTGCAGCTACCAATACTAATTATTTATATGTACAAACTAACATTTGGGAATTAAATGATAAACAACTTGTTAAATCTTTGTATTTTAAATCGAGCCTTTGAATTAGTTCCTTTTATCTCTTGGTAAAAAAATATTATTGAAAGACTTACAAATCAAGTTTCTCAAAGATAGTATTTTGTACAAAGAAACTAAACATAATTGGAAAGGTCACATGTTGAAGACAGACTTTGCTTCTTTGAGTAAGTTGCTTGACCATGAGCAATTTAAATTTGTTTACAATTTGTTTAAAGAATTCTTTTTATTGATTTGTAATAATTCTTTATAAGACACAAAGAATTTCTTTGCCATCTATTTTTGCTTCCTCTACATTCAACTTCATTGTAACCAATGCATCCCATGTGAATTTGTGGATCACCTGGAATCATACCAAGTATGGATTTGGTGAGATGAGACAATAATATGTGTAATTTTTCATGCATATTAATGATATAATCATAAACTACTGTTGAACAAAAATTTCAAGGTAGAAACAAATCTTAGCACATTGTTCAACACACTTCTTTTATCTTGGTTTTGAAGTAGTAACCTGTTTACTATAACAATAAATACTTCATTTACAGAAACGCGAAGTAGTACAGAAAACTGTTTGCATAAATCCAAATTTCCAATCCCATTATAAATGTCTACACTATACAGTCAGTCAAATTGAGCAGGCAAACAGTTTAATAGTTATTTTTATTATACAACATATACCATAGTTCTCATTAATTTTGCATGGCACTGCATTCAATTTCAACACAACTCTGTTGTAAACTTTCTATTCATCTTTTCCAAAAAAAAAACATGAATAAATTCTGCCCCATTTTTGGGAGGTAAACTCAATTCAAATCAGGAGAGTTTAACTTGATCATGATACAAGATGAATGCAAAACTGGATAAAAATTGGCAGCTTTCTCTTCAAGTATCGTGTTAAAAACAAGATAGTAAAACTAATACTGTGCTACTTACCGGAGTCAAGAAATGTTCCCTTTTCTGTCGCTATTTCAGCATCCGCAAACCACAGAAGTTGGCAGTTTAATAAATAAAATTTTAAAAAAGTGTTTATGTTAGGAAAATAAATAGTTTTGATATTTTCTATACTCGCAATCGTGGTGGTCAAATCAGGGTGTGCGACAAAAGTTTTATTTCATGAGCCCGCGTCTCTCCGCTGACTTTGACCACCA